TCAATAATATCTAACACGTAAATAGGACTCCTTAGAAATATTGAAAGGTACATATTGTAAAAAACATGCAAGCTAAAATTCACAAACTTAATTTCTGAGTACATTTACCTTAAATTTCTCATATATTTCACATAGAAAAAAAAATAAGTTTTCTTATAAAAAAAATTAAATAAATGTTATTTCTTTTATCCTAAAGAAACATTCATTCTCACGAGTTATTCTCTGCTGTATGCGGGTTTTATTGAATAAATCTATATCAATTCTATTCAATTATCTGGGGAGTATCAACATCAAGTTTATAAAGTAAATTCAATGCAAAAAAAAAAGCTGGTGTAATGCTACTAACATAATTGCTTTTCTGTCACGTAAATCCACTTTAAATGTCTCCGAGTGGATGGTCAGTACAGGAATTTAGACTGTTTATAACCTGTACAAACTACTTTTATATACGTTACATTATACATTCGTGTGATAAGGTAAAAATCATTCAGCAAGGACGTTTATTTTATATATTTTTCTTTTAATAAACTGTATGGAAATGTAAGTAATTCCGAAACTTCCTTACGTATTAAGTCTAATCTTATGGTGGTTCCTATAGTAACTATAGTTATTTTTATACTGATTTTTATTACTTTACACATGAAAGTTTGCATAAAAAAATATGTTTCTAGACAGGAAAAATGCATTGAATCTTATAAAATTCTTACATTTTACTTAAATTTGAATCGAGGGAAATACTTTCTTTTCAATTCAAAACATTTTTCAGTAATGTTTTTTACATAATAGTTAAAGTATTGCAATCTTACTATTGAATATGGAAACGGGTAGTTTAATATCAACAAGGAAAGCATTTTCTTGTATTCTTCTTTCTAATATCTTTGCAAATGGCAACTACTTGAGCGATACATTCTTTTATTCTTGTTGTTGAATATCTTATTTGTTTTTATTGCTTCTGATCTGAACGATGTAATAAAATATTAAAAAAAATATGAAGAATGATTTATGTATATATTTAATATAATATTTGCTTCTTTAGTAATTTGTTTAAGAGACTTTTTAAATAAATAAAATATCAACGTTTTTCTTCCTCTGAGGATGCTAAAATCCATTAATTAATGGGTTGTGTAACTTTCTCGACAAAAAGTTAAAATGACGTGTAGCGCCATCTGTTGTGGGATTTTTATTTAAAAACTTTTTATATTATTAAATGGCAGAATGTTAATTTTGAGGGTAGAGATGAGTTTTATATATATAAATGATTTAAATGCCAATAACGAATAGAATCCTCATTAAATCTACGATGGTGACCCCCTTCTATTTCCTCATCACCTCGACCTTTAACCACCAACATTTAGTAGCATGAATGGCCCTAATATTCAAATCTCCCCGAAAAATTTCAGAAATGTTCGATAAAAGGCACAGGAGTTATTAAGCTTCAAATTGGGTGAACAGAATCGTGCCTCTATCACATACATGCATATAGAAAACCCCCAAATTTTTACATTTTCCAACGTTTGAAGGTCTTCTAAGTCCAAAAATATAAAAATTTCGGAGGTTATTTTTTGATCTGTCGCCATACTTTCCCTCTTTTATACAAGTATATAACATCCGAGAGAGTAAAAGGTATGAAAGATAAATTATTTTTATGTGTAAAAGTAATTAATAATTATAGTAAATAAACATTACTAAAGTTTTATTATATAATGGAATGTTATGTCTAGAGAGAAGATTTCATGTGAAAAAATATATATTTCATCCATCTGAAAAGTGTGGATATGACAAAAAGTTTTCAGTCTAGCGAACTAGAATTGCTGACGTGATGTAATTTCTCGCGGGAGAAACGATGGAACAATACATGTGCTGAATAAATTGTATACAAGTATCAAATCAATACTTCAACACGATATGACAGGGAAAAAATTTCACCAGAGAAACTTTAAGAGTTTCGGTTTTATTTATAGAAATTTATCCAAAAAAAAATATATCACTTTAGTCATGTAGAAAATAGAACAATAAATATAAATAAAGCAAATCTTAAACAATTAAATATTATATTTTAGGATTTTAAATCGATTTTATGATAAATTATGCGTGTAAAGTGCATATTTTTAGTAATATTAATGAATTAATTAAATAGAAAAGAGTAGTAATTCTTCTTAATGCTCCAATGCTACTATTTATATAAGATTTTAGCTTTAGTAGTATCCTATTTTGATTTCGTTATTGTTAGCTCTGAAATAACAACTGAAACCTGTGCCACTATTAGCAAGACCAACACAAATTTATTGGAATTTTAAGAGTAGACTTTCTTACTAATGTTGCCTTCTCCATCCTCCCATCTTTTTCCTTCTTCCTTTTCTATTTGCTCTTGCTTTATCTCTACAACTCTAGTCTACAAGCCAAATTACTAGAGTAGTGCCTGATATACTTTATAAATCTTTATATTCTGTGCATAAATTTATGTATATATGAGTGTTTAATTAAAGTGTACGTGTACAGAGTACATAAAAAAGTCTCTATATATGTTAGAAGTTATCAAATATGCTTCTCTCCTTTATTTGAAAGGTTTTTATTAATAATTTTATAATCAATTCAAATCCAAAACGAATAAATTCAATCTATTTTTCATATTTTGATATCAATTATTTACATCCAATACGTAGGTCAATATATATATTTTCAAATAAACGTAAAAAAATATATAATATAAAATATTTTAATATTATATATAACGTAGAAAATATCATGTTGATTAAATTTTCATGATAAACTTTCCAATATTAAAACCTCCAAGGTTTGAGTGAATTTAAATTTATTTTATATATATATATATTTACTCCAATTCAAATAAATAAAAAACAAATATTATATATTAAAAATATCATATTCGAGTGATAAAGATAAATTTTTCATAGAAGATAAACTTAAAGAAGAGTTTAACTTTTATATTTATATATTTAAAGATAAACTTTTGGTATTAGAAAAGTTTTATAGTATTATATTGACTTTTTAAAATATTTAAATAATAAATTAAAGAAATTTTTGTATTTTATAATAATTTCCGTTCAGTTTAGCTTTAGAAAAATAAAAAAATATTTAAAAAATTTGCTATTTTCTTCCAAAAAATCCGGGAAGAGTAAAGATTTTAATTTGCAGCATCCGTGAGAAGAATCATCGTTGCATTTATATGTGGTGAAATAAACTACGTTTTATAAAGGATAAAATCTCAAATAATCTGTAAAATCTTTTTTAAAAATAATTTAAAATTTAAAAGAAATAAAAAGAATTACAACAAATATTTAGGAGGGATTTTTTTTTTTTTTTTTTTTTTTTTTTTTTTTTTTTTTT